AAACTATACTCTCATACATTCCCCTCTTTGCCTCCAAGGACAAAGTTCTTTGTCTCCACAGACTCCTAAGTGCACCACTCACTCTTTTTCCCTCATCAATTCTATGATTCACCTCATCTTTCATAGACCCATCCGCTGACACGTCCACTCCCAATATCTGAATACATTCACCTCCTCCATACTCTCTCCCTCCAATCTGATATTCAATCTTTCATCACCTAATCTTTTTGTTATCCTCATAACCTTACTCTTTCCTGTATTCACCTTTAATTTTCTTCTTTTGCACACCCTACCAAATTCATCCACCAATCTCTGCAGCTTCTCTTCAGAATCTCCCAAGAGCACAGTGTCATCAGCAAAGAGCAGCTGTGACAACTCCCACTTTGTGTGTGATTCTTTATCTTTTAACTCCACGCCTCTTGCCAAGACCCTCGCATTTACTTCTCTTACAACCCCATCTAAAAATATATTAAACAACCACGGTGACATCACACATCCTTGTCTAAGGCCTACTTTTACTGGGAAAAAATTTCCCTCTTTCCTACATACTCTAACTTGAGCCTCACTATCCTCGTAAAAACTCTTCACTGCTTTCAGTAACCTACCTCCTACACCATACACTTGCAACATCTGCCACATTGCCCCCCTATCCACCCTGTCATATGCCTTTTCCAAATCCATAAATGTCACAAAGACCTCTTTAGCCTTATCTAAATACTGTTCACTTATATGTTTCACTGTAAACACCTGGTCCACACACCCCCTACCTTTCCTAAAGCCTCCTTGTTCATCTGCTATCCTATTCTCCGTCTTACTCTTAATTCTTTCAATTATAACTCTACCATACACTTTACCAGGTACACTCAACAGACTTATCCCCCTATAATTTTTGCACTCTCTTTTATCCCCTTTGCCTTTATACAAAGGAACTATGCATGCTCTCTGCCAATCCCTAGGTACCTTACCCTCTTCCATACATTTATTAAATAATTGCACCAACCACTCCAAAACTATATCCCCACCTGCTTTTAACATTTCTATCTTTATCCCATCAATCCCGGCTGCCTTACCCCCTTTCATTTTACCTACTGCCTCACGAACTTCCCCCACACTCACAACTGGCTCTTCCTCACTCCTACAAGATGTTATTCCTCCTTGCCCTATACACGAAATCACAGCTTCCCTATCTTCATCAACATTTAACAATTCCTCAAAATATTCCCTCCATCTTCCCAATACCTCTAACTCTCCATTTAATAACTCTCCTCTCCTATTTTTAACTGACAAATCCATTTGTTCTCTAGGCTTTCTTAACTTGTTAATCTCACTCCAAAACTTTTTCTTATTTTCAACAAAATTTGTTGATAACATCTCACCCACTCTCTCATTTGCTCTCTTTTTACATTGCTTCACCACTCTCTTAACCTCTCTCTTTTTCTCCATATACTCTTCCCTCCTTGCATCACTTCTACTTTGTAAAAACTTCTCATATGCTAACTTTTTCTCCCTTACTACTCTCTTTACATCATCATTCCACCAATCGCTCCTCTTCCCTCCGGCACCCACTTTCCTGTAACCACAAACTTCTGCTGAACACTCTAACACTACATTTTTAAACCTACCCCATACCTCTTCGACCCCATTGCCTATGCTCTCATTAGCCCATCTATCCTCCAATAGCTGTTTATATCTTTCCCTAACTGCCTCCTCTTTTAGTTTATAAACCTTCACCTCTCTCTTCCCTGATGCTTCTATTCTCCTTGTATCCCATCTACCTTTTACTCTCAGTGTAGCTACAACTAGAAAGTGATCTGATATATCTGTGGCCCCTCTATAAACATGTACATCCTGAAGTCTACTCAACAAGTCTTTTATCTACCAATACATAATCCAACAAACTACTGTCATTTCGCCCTACATCATATCGTGTATACTTATTTATCCTCTTTTTCTTAAAATATGTATTACCTATAACTAAACCCCTTTCTATACAAAGTTCAATCAAAGGGCTCCCATTATCATTTACACCTGGCACCCCAAACTTACCTACCACACCCTCTCTAAAAGTTTCTCCTACTTTAGCATTCAGGTCCCCTACCACAATTACTCTCTCACTTGGTTCAAAGGCTCCTATACATTCACTTAACATCTCCCAAAATCTCTCTCTCTCCTCTGCATTCCTCTCTTCTCCAGGTGCATACACGCTTATTATGACCCACTTCTCGCATCCAACCTTTACTTTAATCCACATAATTCTTGAATTTACACATTCATATTCTCTTTTCTCCTTCCATAACTGATCATTTAACATTCCTGCTACCCCTTCCTTTGCTCTAACTCTCTCAGATACTCCAGATTTAATCCCATTTATTTCCCCCCACTGAAACTCTCCTACCCCCTTCAGCTTTGTTTCGCTTAGAGCCAGGACATCCAACTTCTTTTCATTCATAACATCAGCAATCATCTGTTTCTTGTCATCCGCACTACATCCACGCACATTTAAGCCTCCCAGTTTTATAAAGTTTTTCTTCTTCTCTTTTTTAGTAAATGTATACAGGAGAAGGGGTTACTAGCCCATTGCTCCCGGCATTTTAGTCGCCTCATACGACACGCATGGCTTACGGAGGAAAGATTCTTTTCCACTTCCCCATGGACAATAGAAGAAATAAAAAAGAACAAGAGCTATTTAGAAAAAGGAGAAAAACCTAGATGTATGTATATATATATATGCATGTGCGTGTCTGTGAAGTGTGACCAAAGTGTAAGTAGGAGTAGCAAGATATCCCTGTTATCTAGCGTGTTTATGAGACAGAAAAAGAAACCAGCAATCCTACCATCATGCAAAACAGTTACAGGTTTTTGTTTCACAGTCATCTGGCAGGACGGTAGTACTTCCCTGGGTGGTTGCTGTCTACCAACCTACTACCTAAAAGTTTAGAAGTATATACGTATAAAGATACACCACATATCTCTCCAAACCGCCAATATCCCGAACCCCTCCTTTAGAGTGCAGGCATTGTACTTCACATTTCCAGGACTTATGTCCGGCTATATAAAAATAACTGGTTTCCCTGAATCCCTTCAGTAAATATTACCCTGCTCACACTCCAACAGCTCGTCAGGTCCCAAATACCATTCGTCTCCATTTACTCCTATCAAACATGCTCACGCACGCTTGCTGGAAGTCCAAGCCCCTCGCCCACAAAACCTCCTTTACCCCTTCCTTCCAACCTTTTCGAGGACGACTCCTACCTCGCCTTCCTTCCCCTACAGTTTTATATGCTCTCCATGTCATTCTACTTTGATCCATTCTCTATATCCCTATTTTTTTTTTTAACAAGTCGGCCATCTCCCACCAAGGCAGGGTGACCCAAAAAGAAAGAAAATCCCAAAAAAATAAATGCTTTCATCATCATTCAACTCTTTCACCTCACTCACACATAATCACTGTTTTTGCAGAGGTGTTCAGAACACAACAGCTTAGAAGCATATACGTACATATAAAGATACACAACATATCCCTCCAAACTGTCAATATCCTGAACCCCTCCTTTGGAGTGCAGGCATTGTATTTCCCATTTCCAGGACTCAAGTCCGGCTATATAAAAATAACCGGTTTCCCTGAATCCCTTCAATAAATATTACCCTATGCAACAGTTAGGTATCTTTATTATGAAACGTTTCGCCTACACAGTAGGCTTCTTCAGTCAAGTACAGAAAAGTTGATAGAAGCAGAAGATACTTGAAGACGATGTAATCAGTCCATCACCCTTAAAGTTTTGAGGTGGTCAGTCCCTCAGTCTGGAGAAGAGCATTGTTCCATAGTATGAAACAATAAAGATACCTAACTGTTGCATATGTGTCTTACCTAACAACCTGTCGGTATTTTATACCATTTTAATGTTCAAATATTACCCTGCTCACAATCCAACAGATATCCCTATATCCTTTCTAAATCTGAATTTATTAAATTTAAACTCATTGGTTCTATTTGACAGTTTATTTCAATAGTCCACAGCTCTATTGTAAAACAAATACTTCCTATATCCTTTCTAAGTTTGAATCTTTTTTCTTTTAAACATGCTGGATGTCTCCCACTGAGGCAGGGTGACCTGAAAAAGAAACACTTTCACCATCATTCACACTATCACTGTCTTGCCAGAGGTGCACAGATACACAAATAACCCGCACATAAAAGAGAGAAGCTTACGACGACGTTTCGGTCCGACTTGGACCATTGACAAAGTCAGTTTGTGTATCGTTCCAGTCACGGTATTGTGCCTTTTTTTTTGTTTTGTTATTTGTACACAGATACAACACTTTAGATATCACTCTAAACAACAGATATCCCAAACCCCTCCCATAGAGTGCAGGCATTGTACTTCCCACCTCCAGGACTCAAGTCCAGCTAATCAGTTTCCCTGAATCCCTTCAAAAACTATTACCTTGCTCCTACTCCAACAGCTCTTCAAATCCCAAAAATTATTTGTCTCCACTCTTATATAACATGCTCACATGTATAGGAAAGGAATAGTTTAGCAAGAGTTGTAGATGAACAGAACTGCCAAGTAGCCTCATTGAAACTAATGCCTTGCTAGTGTTAAAAATAAGTTAGATATGTGCAAGAGAAGTAGTTAGTATGACTTGACTCATTGGGCCAGTGCTCCTCAATGTATGTTCTGTTAGTGCTCCTCAATTTATGTTCTGTTGCATGAACTTCTGTGGGTGTTGGTTTAAGTATGTTCTCATGGTTTTTTCATGTATATATTATAAAGATTATTGCTTATTACCCATATTCAAAATATGGTTGAATAAATGGTACAGATTAATACCATAGTGGTGTTTGAGTATGGGAAATCATAGTAGCAACCCAGGGCTATGATTTTGAAGAGGGAGAGGCAATTTAGTGTTTACTGTTTTATAACCATTACAAAAGATGAGTTTCAAAACTTGCCTTATAGGTCAGTATCTATTTATAGGTCATATTTCTTTCAATACAGTGGTGGTTTGGGGGTGGTACTGACTTGACCCCATATTACCTTGACGAAGATGATGTCAAGCACTTTCATAGTGTTCTAAAATCAGCATGTGACCGCCATGACCCTCAGTATTATCCAAATTATAAGAAATGGTGTGACGACTACTTCCACATCCAGTATAGAGGTAAGTGGCCAAGCCGAATGTATGTGTATGACTGACAAGATCATTTAAAGGGCTATGGAAGACACTGTTTAATCACTGGCCAACAGTTCAACTCTGAACTTAGTTTTCCACCTGATTTTCTTTAATATAAACTTTCTTTACTTAACAGGAGAAAGACGAGGAATTGGTGGTATTTTCTTTGATGATTTGGAAGCAGACAATGCTGGTGGTGTGTTTAACTTTGTGAAGGACTGTGCAGAAGCTGTAATTCCCTCATATATACCTTTAGGTAAGGTACATCAACCTTGAAAATAAGTGGTAGTTTTCTTTTAGTCTTTTAGGTTGCAGAAAATTTACATTTGGTATTCATTTTTATAGAAGTACAGTGGACCCCCGATTAACGATATTTTTTCATTCCAGAAGTATGTTCAGGTGCCAGTACTGACCGAATTTGTTCCCATAAGGAATATTGTGAAGTAGATTAGTCCATTTCAGACCCCCAAACATACACGTACAAACGCACTTACATAAATATACTTACATAATTGGTCGCATTGGGAGGTGGTCGTTAAGCGGGGGTCCACTGTATTCCACTTTATAAAAAATACTTTATTTTAAACCTGTGAGAAGAGTGTATAATGTTTGTTACAAATTACAGTGAAAAAACACAAGAAGGATGCAGTCTCAGAGGCAGAGCGAAGATGGCAGCTACTGCGACGAGGCCGCTACGTAGAGTTCAATTTAGTATATGATCGTGGAACCAAGTTTGGGTTTGCAACACCCAATGCACGTATTGAAAGTATACTCATGTCTCTTCCTCTACAAGCAGTAAGTAGTGAATAAGACATATAAAATACTAACTTGCAAAGCAGCTACAAAAGCAGATTGGACACTTCATTAAGACAGCAATGCTTAGAGACCAAGCCTTTTCAAATCTGTAGAACATACTTAGGAAATGTGAGAACGTTTAGGGAGAGTGAGGACTTTATGAGAGGTGCAGGTGACTTGAACACATGAACAACCGTGAAGATTGAGTCGAGGAGTTTGCCAAGCAAGATGAATTTAGTAAGCTGATGAAGTAATCAACACCCTGACTACTTAGAGACTAAACCACAAGTATCAGATGAAGGTTTGAGGCTTCACCACTCCTTGTGCTGAATGACCATATAGATTTAGCACTAAATGAAATAATGCAATAGATTAAGATGATAATTCCTCTGTCTCTTTTTATGTATAATGATATTCATGATAAAAATTAAACTTTACACTGACTATTCTCTTCCAGTGGCTGTCAGAAGAAACAATGACTGTTTCTTCTGACAAGATAATTAAAAAATTGTTATTAGCATGGTTAGTCCAATCACTTTTAGATTGTCTGATTACATTTTAGTTTATTTTTTATAATATAGTAATTGTTTTCAGCTGTATTCCTCTCCTGTAGTGCACTCAATAATTCCCTGTGTGTGAAAAGTCTCTGGGAACAAGAGGATAGCTAGGGGTCTGAACTATTGAAGGGCTTAGTTGCCACATACCTATAATGTGAGCAGTAGTCACCCTATATCAGTCATGTGGACAGTAGTCACCCTGTACCAGTCATGTGGGCAGTAGTCACCCTGTACCAGTCATGTGGGCAGTAGTCACCCTATATCAGTCATGTGGGCAATAGTCACCCTGTACCCATTGCAGTGGTACATAATGGGTTCAGGGACTGGGACCCAGCATTCTCTTAGCTGAAAGAGTTTCATTATTAATGAACTACTGGCATTTCTAGGAATTATGTAATTCAGTTTCTAGGTAGTAGGTTGGTAGACAGCAGCCGCCCAGGGAGGTACTACCGTCCTGCCAAGTGAGTGTAAAACGGAAACCTGTAATTGTTTTACATGGTGGTAGCATTGCTGGTGTCTTTTTTTCTGTCTCATGAACTTGCAAGATTTCAGGTACGTCTTGCTACTTCTACTTACACTTAGGTCACACTACACATGTACAAGCATATATATACACACCCTGCTGGGTTTTCTGCTATTTTCTTTCTAGTTCTTGTTCTTGTTTATTCCTCTTATCTCCATGGGGAAGTGGAACAGAATTCTTCCTCCATAAGCCATGTGTGTTGTAAGAGGCGACTAAAATGTCAGGAGCAAGGGGCTAGTAACCCCTTCTCCTGTATAAATTACTAAATTTGAAAAGAGAAACTTTTGTTTTTCTTTTTGGGCCACCCTGCCTCGGTGGGATATGGCTGGTTTGTTGAAAAAAAAAATGTAATTCAGTTAATATTTTAAGTAAATGTATTCAGTCTTATTGCACCTACATGTTAAATTTACTGCAGTCTTATCAGGACATAAGTACAGGTACTCTAATTTCCAAAGTGAGATGGAGTTTGAGGTTTACCCACTTCACAAATAACCTGCACTTAAGAGAGGAATCTTATTGCAGCATTTTAGTCTGTCCTGAACAGTTGTGACTTTACATTGGTCCAGGACAGACTGAAACATCATCACAGGGTTCCTAGCATAAATGTGGGTACTGTGACTGTATATTCTCTACCACTGTTTCACAACACTGCTTAGTTTCGAATTGCTCATGATAATAAAGAAATTTACTTCATGGGGGAAGTGTAAAAGAGTCTTTCCTCTGTAAGCCATGTGTGTCATTAAGGTGACTAAAATGCCAGGAGAAAAGGGCTAGTAACCCCTTCTCCTGTATAAATTACTAAATGTAAAAAGAAGGAAAACTTCATAGCTTTCTTCTTTTTCAGGTCACCCTGTCTCAGTGGGAGATGGCCAATGTATTGAAAAAAAATAAGAGACACTTACTGAGATTTTCTTTTTTTTTCAGCGCTGGGAATACATGCATAAACCAGAGCCTGGCTCACCAGAGTTCAAGATAACTGAGGTTCTAAAAAATCCACGAGAATGGGTGTAATATTTAAGCAAGAGAATCCTTTATACAATTGCCATGTCCATCTTAAAATGTGGTGTTTATTTTAATGGCAGTTTACAAGTAGACGGGAAAGATATATGAAAAGAGGTACACACACTGAAGCTGGTATTCACAGGGATTATGTACCTGAGGTTAACTCAGATGTCAAACCTCGAATAACACACTTGACCACTGTGTTATAATGGTCATGTTTAAATTTACCATATGTGTTGTGAAAGATATACAACTGATAGGAGGTGATTTCAGATAATACCTAAATAATATGAGGGGAGTAATAATTCCTTAAATAAACTTATAATTGGCTCTCAACACTTGACCTACTAAGACTTTATCTGATGTGATTATAAGTTTATTGAGGAATTTATACCTGGAGATACCTGGAGAGGGTTTCAGGGGCCAATGCCCCTTGGCCCAGTCTGTGACCAGGCCTCTGAATAAGTGACCAATCCACCTAAATTCATTTTTTTTTTACTTAACCATTTTTTCTCTTTTTAACATTAGCCATATCCCATTGAGGTAGGGTGTACCTGGAGTATACCTGGAGAGGGTTTTGGAGGTCAACACCCCTGCAGCCTGGTCTGAGACCAAGCCTCGTAGTGGATCAGGGTCTGATCAACCAGGTTGTTACTGCTGACCGCACACAAACTGACATATGAACCACAGCCTGGCTGGTCAGGAACTGACTTTAGGTGCCTGTCCAGTGCCTTCTTGAAGACAGCCAGGGTTCTGTTGGTAATCCCCCTTATGTATGCTGGGAGGCAGTTGAACAGTCTTGGGCCCCCTGACACTTATTGTGTTGTCTCTCATTGTACTCGTGGCACCCCTGCTTTTCATTGGGGGATTGTTTCATCTCCTGGGGAGTCTTTTGCTTACATAGGGAGTGATTTTTCATGTGCAAGTTTGGTACTAATCCCTCTAGGGTTTTCCAAGTGTATATTATCATGTAGCTCTCTCGCCCATGTTCCAGGGAATACAAATCAAGGGACTTCAACCACTCCAGCCGACCCAAAAAAAGAACAAATGCTTTCACCATCATTCATTCAGTCACTGTCTTGTCAGAACAGTGTTGGCATCACAGTTTAAATGACCCTCTGAACTGCTATGTCCCCACCCCTCTAGAGTAGTAGTAGAAGTAGAAGTAGTAGTAGTAGTAGAATTAGTAATAGTAGTGGAGGAAATCTAAGGATAAGAAAAAAGTAACACTGCAACAAAGCTAATAGTCCATGAGGGTGGGACCAAAGACACGGGGAAAAAATAAAGAACAGGACACACCTAGGTAGAAGAAAGGAAGAGAAAGAAAATATAGGAAAGGAGAGGAGGTAAGGAGAAGAAAAGATCAGGTCAAGTCTCAAGTGTTCTGAAATTTGGAGCATTTGACAATGTAACAAGAAAGGAAGGCATCTACGGAGACAGCCAGGACCAAGATTCATATTAGGAAAATTGTACATAAGGGATACTTCAACAAGACGGCATCTGTGAAGGCTAGAAGAACGGTAGACAGTTTTGGCAGAGGACTATTTAATATGTGCAGATTATTTGTGTATTATTCCAGTAACAGTATTGTGCCTTTTTGTTCTTTTCATCTTATGTTATTTTGGTTAGGTTAGATTATATTTTACCTCAGTTAACCAAATTTAACCAATGATAACATACAGTACTTAAACAACAATAAATGAAATATTATGGTTAGATAAGTATGTTATATGTATATGTGAACACAAAACCACCATGGCCTGGTTAGGAGTGTCCCATGGCCTGGTAGGCAATGCTCTAGCTTCACATACAAGAGTGTCTGTGGTCCAAAACCTGGCAAGGGTTTAAACATTGGGTGTGTTTCCTCACACCTGTTGTCCCCGTTCACCTAGCAAGCAAGTAGGTACCTGGGTGTTAATTGACTGGTATGGCTCATATCCTGGGGGACAAGATTTAACGACCCCCATTTGAAGTAAGACAGATAGTCATCAATGATGCACTGACTTTCCTGGGTTATCTTGGGTGGCTAACCCTTCTGGGTTAAAAATCCAAACAAAATCTTATCTAATCAAGATGACTGAAGAAGCATAAAAGTAAAACCCTGAGGTTTACATTTTACTGTCACTTTCACTTTGCTTGCAGTTTAAAACTGATGCTTGCTTATGAGGATTGGTTGCAGTAAGATTTAGTCCACTTCACATCACATTTCATTTGTAAACACTTCGTGTCACTTATGTTTTGTTGTCTCTCCCTGACTTACATGGGATCCATGAGTGGCAACATGTGACTGTTTAAGTACAGTACTATCTTCATGAAACTGTCTGCAAGAACTTGCTGCTGATAGTCAAGTTACACAAATGCCAAAATTGTAATTACCCTAGTTTTCTTGTTTTCTCAGTAATAAATATTGTGTTTTATTGCCAGGAATTCTTAAGACTGTTCATTTTATATTCTGTACAGAGACTCCCCTGCATACGGACATTCATGTTGCAAACTTTTGATAATACGAGCAATTTGTGGGAAGTGCCGAAATGTAAACAACTTGTAGTAGGTTACTCTGGTAGCATTATTCAAATGTGTACTTGTGCTCTCTCCACAAATTCAATGTTATTTGTGATTATTATACCCCAGTATGTCTGGTGTCAAGCACAAAAACAGTGATGATGCAGGTGGTAGTGCTAAGAAGTGTCAGGCCATCACAGTGGAAACAAAGGTGGACATAATAATGTATTGATGTTCATATGTGCATATACTGTACAATATACATACATATTTATTTATTTTATTAATTTGAACATGATACAGAGAAGTACAAGGAATACAATTTTTAAAGTGCAGCATGCACTTTAGGGGAGTATCTGTATTATGATATTACGTTTAGAATTAAAAAGTTTTAATTAAATTTATACATTTAGCAGAAACTCCTGTTTGCTTCTTGTAATTCTTATACTATTAACCCTTAAACTGTCCAAACGTAGATCTATGTTGACGTGTGTAGTGCTCCGAACGTAGATCTACGTCTGATTTTACATGCTTTCAAATGGAGAAAATCAAGGTTGGAGCGCTACACATGTCACTGCAGATCTACGTTTGGACAGTTTAAGGGTTAATATACATTTTAATTTACCCTAAATATTGTAAAAGATTAATCAGAGTTTTGACTTTGACTGATAAAAAAATTTGGATCATAGTTTAAGTCTATGTCAATTTTTAATCATCTGAAATTGCTCAGAACACTGAATTTGTAAACTATAATTGTTTTAAATATGTACTTAAATATTAATGACATTCCAAGAGTTGCATTTTTCTTTGTTGATAATGGATAAATTGCACAGGGTTAACAGCTGTATTACAGTAATTGATCTCAGAGAGAAATTCCAACTTTTCTTACTGTTAAATGCTCGAACTTTTTCCTGTGCCTTCCTTAATTCAGAATATGAAGAAAAGGTAGCACTTTAAAAGCTAGTGCTCCTTAAGGCATATAGGAGAATGCAAGGAGAAGCCCCTTTAGACATGTTGAATGAAGCAAGATGGAGATCCTCCGAAGACAATAAGAAGCTCTTTAGGCATACCTGTATAGGAGAAAGCAAGGGTGAGCTCTTTAAGGGTTATGGCAGAAAACATGATGAGCTCTTTAAGGGATATAGCAGAAAGCAACAATGAGCTTTATAAAGGATATAGCAGAAAGCAATGATGAGGTCTTTAAGGGAAATAGCAGAATGCAAAGGGAATCTCCTTAAGGCATGTAACACACAGCAAGGAGGAGCTACTTAAACCAAGATGCTTTTCAAGGCATGTAATCATTACACAAATAGTCAAAGTTTGTCGCCTCTCCCTCCCTAGTGTATTCACATTCATCCTTAATAAACTATTGAAGATTGTCTGACATAAGCATTTTGCCAACTAATGGTAATTATTGCTTGAAACAAATGCTATTTTTTATATAAATTAATTGTTATACCTTTCTGAACTTAAGATGTCTTGATGTACAGTGTTATATACGTACAGTTTTGTTACAAATTAAAGTGTATTATGTCTCAAAATTTCTTGATATCTTACATTTGGCAAAAATAGCTTTATCATGTCACTGTAAGTAACAATAACACCTGGAGTATACCTGGAGAGGGTTTTGGGGATCAACACCCCCACTGCTCGGTCTGAGACCAGGCCTCGTGGTGGATCGGGGTTTGATCAACCAGGCTGTTACTGCTGGCTGCGTGCAAACCGACGTACAAACCACAGCCTGGCTGGTCAGGTACCTTACTTTAGGTGCCTGTCTTGAAGACAGCCAGGGGTCTCTTGGTAATATCCCTTATGCATGCTGGGAGGCAGTTGAACAGTCTTGGGCCCTGGACACTTATTGCATTGTCTCTCAGTGTACCCATGGTGCTCCTGCACCATACTGGACATTATTTTCAACATGTATGCTGTACTGCAACAACCTTTTACTTTGTGGATACATGATTTTTTTATGTAAATATAAATTTATATTTTTGTGTAGGAAGTACTGTACTAATATCTAAAATACTTTATTGTATATTAATTCAAATTTTAAAACTGTTTTTGTGTCTGAGTACTAGAAATGCTTTTTAATAGATGGTGCTAAGTTAGTATTTGTAGAAATAGTGCAATAAGAAAGAGTCTTGATATACATGGCATAGACTGACCAGTGCTGTCAGAAAAGGCTCTAATTGGAAGTCACAATGATGTGTTGTGATTCACTGGGATAAACACCATCCTAACATCTTCACCATATATTCAACAAATGTTGGGTCAGAGTTTGGAAAATATAAGTTGTTCTTCATCAACTTAATACAAATACTTTATAATAATAACAATAACAATTTTATTTTAGTATGATAACATGTTTGTACAAAGGAGTGTAACAATTGAGTGAACATGCCAAAAACCCCTTTATATGCAGAGCATTCTGAGCAAACTTAAGACTAACTTAAGATTAATAAGGCAATAACAGAGCTGTACTTGTACATATGGTCATTAGGTGAGTTACAATGAATACAAGAAAATTTAATATCCAACTAGTTCATGCTATATGGCTTTAATAAGTTAGGTACAGAAGAATTACAGTTTTGATATAGTATATATTCAACATTCAACTATTCAGTTATTCATCTATTTCCCACTCTGTTCTCTTTATTGTTACCTTATTGTAACTATGATTTATCCTCATTCTGGCTTTCTTCCAGTTTTATTCATAATATTGCTTTCAAGGAGGTGCCTTGATTCTGGTGGGGTTCCTTAGATCAGATATGATTGCCCTCCATACCTGCAGGTGCAATATAACCTCTATAGATTTAGCACTTAACCCTCTCCTCCCTGTATATAATACAGTAAAAAAATAATAATTATATTATGTGTGAACTCTCAAGATCATGTTTTAATGGATCATGCAATTTTCACAAATATGCAGTATTACTGCATCAGGCTACCTTTTTTGAAGTTGATTTACCATGTGATTGAACCATGGCAGTGTAAGAAATAGTGGTCTGTAAAACAAACCATTGGGGTACAACAGTTACTGGAAGAGTACTGTACTTGATTAATGTTTTAGTGTCACTCTGACCCTCTTCAAAAGCTTGTGGAAGAGGACCTCAATGTGAGAGCAAAATATACAGTAGCACAAATTCAATTTTGGTTTTATAGGCTTCATGTAGGTTTACTGTTACCACTTAGTGATTTGTTGAGATTTCTTTGCTTTTATGCCTGTTATAAAAGTCTTCATGTGAGGAGTGTGACAGTATATTAATAAAATTGAATGAAACTTATGGAATTGGAATAACAATTGTTAAGAAATGTTTGTATAGCAAAAAAAAAAAAAAAACTTTTTTTCAAGTTCTGAATTCAGCAACAAAATATTGTTTTAAATGAAAGAAATCAAAATACCACACGTATATAACATGTAAGTTTGTGCAATTTTAATATTGTACAATATATTCACTAATAAGATGATTCTCACCTTATTGTGTAACTAACTTTGTTTCTCATATTTTATAGACTTGTGTTTTGGTAAAGACGACAGTATTAAGATGAATCATTTACTTTTGTTGAAGTCTACATTAGTATTTGTTCTTTTCATTTTTTAATTTTTGTTTATTTTGTATATTTTCAACGATCACAAAAACAGTATAGGTGCCAGCATGTGAATTGATGATAATTTCAATAAATAAAAATTATTCATGTTCAGCGCTAAACCTACGAGGGTCATTCAGCACAAGACATAGTGGAGGTTTGATCCCCCATCTGCTGAATGCCAGACAGATGCTCCTCCTATTTGTACTCAGATAATACACCTTGATAATTTAAGTAGATTATTAAAAAGAATTTTTGTCTTGAAATAATAGATGGTGTTTTAGATGGTTGTCTTTTCAAGAATGGTGCTTTGATGTTGGTCAGGGGTTTTGATCCAAAGATTTGGAGCTGTGCTCACCTAATTGTGGTTGCAGGGGGTCAAGATTAAGCCTCTTCACTGATCGCTACTAGGTCCTCTCTCTCCCTGCTCCATGAGCTTCATCATACCTCGTCTTAAAGCTATGTATGGTGCCTGCCTCAACTACATCACTCGCTAAAATATTCCACTTTCTGACAACTCTGTGAATGAAGAAATACTTCCTAACATCCATTTGACTCATCTGAGTCTTCAACTTCCTATTGTGACCCCTTGTTTCTATGTCCCCTCTCTGGACCATCCTGTCTCTGTCTACCTTATCTATTCCATGCAGTATTTTGTACGTTGTTATCATGTCTCTCCTAACCCTCCTGTCCTCCAGTGTCGTCAGGCCAATTTTCCTCAACCTTTCTTCATAGGACATTCCCCTTAGCTCTGGAACTAGCCTTGGTGCAAACCTTTGCACTTTCTCTAATTTCTTTACGTGATTAACCAGGTGGGGATTCCAAACTAGTGCTGCATACTCAGTATGGGCCTGACGTACACGGTGTACAGTGTCTTGAATGATTCCTTACTACGGTGTCAGAATGCTATTCTCAGGTTTGCCAGGCACCCATATGCTGCAGCAGTTATCTGGTTGTGTGCTTCCCGAGATGTGCTCGGTGTTGTACTCACCCCAAGATCTTTCTCCTTGAGCGAGGTTTTCAGTCTTTGGTCACCTAGCCTATATTCTGTTTGCGGTCTTCTTTGCCTTTCCCCGATCTTCATGACTTTGCATTTGGCAGGGTAAATTCAAGAAGCCAGTTGCTGGACCACATGTCCAGCCTGTCCAGGTCTCTTTGTAGTCCTGCCTAATCCTCATCTGATTTGATTCTTCTCTTTAACTTCACATCATCTGCAAACAGGGACACTTCTGAGTCTATACCTTCCATCATGTCATTCACATATGTATATCAAAAATATCACTGGTCCTAGAACTGACCCCTGTGGGACCCCGCTCATCACACGCGCCCACTATGATACCTCATCATGTACCATGACTTGTTGTTGCCTCTTTGCTTTACTTGGATCATTTCTAATTACCTTCCATTCCCTATGTGCTGTATGATTTCTATGGGTTTTGTGCTTTTGCCATGATAGGAACAGTTTACAGTGTTGTATTTATTAGACATAAGTAATGTATATAAAGCCTTCAGGAATTGCATTAGAGAGCTCTTGCTGGCCACTCAACAGATATATATTGTCATTGTGGGGGTTTGAATATTTTCTTTTAGGGTCATTGATATATTCTTTCTCTTTTGTAACTTATGCCACAAATGCTGTTATAACAGCAAAATTCATGCTGTTATTTATGCTAAGCATAGATAATTATGTAAATAGTTCTAAGAAATAAAATAGGAACTCTCTAAGGTGTTGTTACAGCAAAATAGTTGCAATATTACCATTTAGCATAAAAATATTTAAAATATGCAATCTGGAATTATATGTTAGTTTTGTTATAGTTTTTTGTCTAGGATTCTACTTTTATAAATAGAACATGACAACAGGAAAACCTACACTCAGGCCAGGTTGTAAGAATAAAAAAATTGGAACTGGATTTAAGTATGTCACTGTCGTGATGTTATGTTATGGTATCCTAGACTTGTGAACAAGAAGTTCGTAGTTTATAAGGGGTCCCTCATGCCAATCATTGAAGTATCACTCAGGATGCAACCTAACTTCAAAGTACCTATTTACTGGTTGATGAACAGGGACAGTGGGTGTAAAGAGACATGTCCAGATGTCTTGCTATGTCCAGGGATCAAGCCAAGGACCTTTCAGTTGTAAGCTCACTATTCTGACCACTGAGCTATGGTAATGGTACAAAGCTTTTGGTATTTTTTATAAAAATATTTATATGTACATTTGTTTTAAATCATATTTTGGGTAATTTGGCAATAAATTTAAATGGCAATCTATTATTTTTTATTAATACTTTTTTTCTGGTTTAAAACATTTTACATTTTCATCATATAAAACCTGAATACGTACTTTCCCCCCTTTACTATTTTTATAGATTAAATAGCAGAGACATGCACTGCATGCTAATGGCTTTCTTTAGTGCTTAATATTTTATTACAGAAGGGCCCCGCTTATACAGCAGGTTAGGTTCCAGATTACTGCTGTAAAGCGAAAATCACAGTAATAAAGTGACACAGCTTTTTTTTTTAATTCAAATTTAAAAGCCTGGTAACATTTTTACACTATCACACATTAAGTGAGCATTAGAGCTAGGCTTACAAAATGCATATAAATTATGCACATTACTTCTTCTTCTTTCAACAAACTGGCTGTATCCCTTCAAGGCAGGGTGGCCCAGAAGGAAAAACAAAAGCTTCTCCTTTTAAATTTGGTAATATATACAGGAGAAGGGGTTACTAGCCCCTTGCTCCCGGCATTTTAGTCGCCTCTTACGACAAGCATGACTTACGGAGGAAGAATTCTGTTCCACTTCCCCTTGGAGAACACATTACTTACCTTAAAATATTTTTGTACTTAGCTTATAGTGAATGGTGAATATATTTATTGTAGGAAGCCTGTATTAATGAAGAATGGGTATAACAGAAAACTACTGTATTAGCAAAATGCTGTAAAGCAGGGCTCTCCTGTACATGTAAACAGCATTTTGTATACTGCAGAAAAGAAATAAAGTTGTATTGTATTGTATCAAAATTTGGTTTAGTTTGTGACATTTCAGCTTATGCCACTGCTGCTAATTCTGACACCATCAAATTTCAACTTATGCCACTGCTGCTAATTCTGACACCATCAAATTTCAACTTATGCCCCTGCTGCTAATTCTGACACCATCAAATTTCAACTTATGCCCCTGCTGCTAATTCTGACACCATAGTGATATCAGAGGTTGCCTTCTTTGACAGCACTGTGGTTCCCACCACTTCACTGTTGATGCTGATGCCAACACAGCTGCTGATCCCATTGTTGGTGCCACTGATGGCACTTCTGCTAACATTGCTTCTGTTAAGGCTACTGCTGCTGCTCATAAAAAAAAATAATCTCTGATTTAAGTATCCTGACTTAAGTCTCCTAACTTGCCCCCTGACTTATTTATTTATTTATTTATTTAAAAATTTGAGCACACATACAGAGGTACAACAAATACAGGTAAGAGCAGTATGCCAAAGCCACTTATACTATGCATAGCATTACGGGCTGGCTTAAAATTAACTTAAGATTAACTAAGCAATGATGAAATCAGTGATAAAACATTAATGTAAACAGGTTACTATAAAGCACAAGTGAGTATTACAAAGACAGGTCATATGGTTGTATGCATTGTTGTACATTCAGTAGAATGGAGTATTCTGTTAGGTAGTGTATTTAAAAAATAATAAAGTTAGATTGGGTTTTAGGTTTAACATTTATGTGATATAATTGTGAGAAACATTTAAGATATACAATTTATAAGGTTCAGTTATTCAGTATTTATTTGGTTTTGGGTGAGTAAGTGATCTTTGAGAAGAGACTTGAATTTATAAACAGGTAGTGTTTCTTTTATATTTACAGGTAATGAATTCCAGATTTTAGGGCCTTTTATGTGCATTGAGTTTTTACATAGTGTGAGATGGACACGAGGAACATCAAAGAGTGATCTGTGCCTTGTGTTATGGTCATGTGTTCTGTTGAGGTTGGCAAGGAGATGTTTGAGGCGAGGGTTAATATCAGAGTTAAGTGTTCTATGTATGTAATAGGTGCAGTAGTAAGTATGGATGTTTTGTATGGTGAGGAGGTTTAGTGTATTGAATATTGGTGGAGTGTGCTGCCTATAGTGAGAATTTGTTATCATTCTAACTGCAGCCTTTTGTTGGGTAATTAGTGGTCTGAGATGGTTACTTGTTGTTGAGCCCCATGCACAAATTCCATAGGTGAGATAGGGGTAAATAAGAGAGTGATATAGAAGCTTGCCTGGGATGACCCAAAAAAAAGTCAAAGTAATTTATTTCCATTGAGGTCCTTGGTTTTCATTGGGGTACAGTGGAAACCAAGTACATGTACATACTTGGTTTCCACTGGGGTCCTTGGTTTTCATTGGGGTACTTGGTTTCCACTGGGGTCCTTGGTTTCCACTGGGGTCCTTGGTTTCCATTGGGGTCCTTGGTTTCCATTGGGGTCCTTGGTTTCCACTGGGGTCCTTGGTTTCCATTGGGGTCCTTGGTTTCCATTGGGGTCCTTGGTTTCCACTGGGGTTCTTGGTTTCCTAGTGTTTGTCTACTGCTGTGGGTGGCATCCTAGGGAAGCACCTAAGCACTTTACTTACATACTATTGCTTACTTATTAATGAAAGTAAGCCACACTGCCTGGCTTTACTGGGTTAGTCTCCCCAGTCTAACAATCCTGATCCAAGGAAATGGAGCTATTCTGTCCTTGGCTCTTCAAGTAACAGGGCTACTGGTGAAGGGGTTCTTGATCCAGGAACTGGAGTTATCCGCCAAGAATCAAATCTGAGTGCTCTAAATGTCATATGGTGTACGAAAAATTCAATGTATTTCAAAGGACCTAAAATGTGGAACACCCTACCTGAAAACTCTAGAACTGCAGACACATTCATCACTTTCAAAACTACAGTTAGAAAACATCTTATCTCCCTGATACACCCCGACAACTAACTACATGATAACCACCTGGTGGTTCACAGTTACACTCACCCACTGACTATAAACCCAGAAATACTAAAATTAATCCTAAAATAATAAATCCTAACTAGTCATAAGTTTGCCTATGATACTCCAATATAGACACTTTGTATTGTGTCAAAACAAAAGCATTCACATTGCTAAACTCACAAATTATGATGTAGTCACTTAGCCTTAATACCATAATCTGTAAGGATTTAATGTTAAGAATTAATCTAAGTCTGCCCTTGCAGCGCTGTATAGTCCTTGTGGCTTAGCGCTTCTTTTTTATTATAATAATAATAATAATATAAGTCTGCCCGAAATGCCTAGCCATGCTAGGTGTCCTAGTGGCCCCCTCTGTAACTAGTATTTTCCTCTTCAAGGGGGGCTCCTTGGCATGGTGAAGAGGCTCTTGGTCTGAGGAATTAGACCTGTCGGTCTTCTTCCTCATACCGAACCTAATTACCCCCCAATCTCCCCTCCCCTATCCCATCCTCCCCTTTTTCCTTTCCTCCTCCCCCTCCCCACCCCTCCCTTTTGCCCTTTCTCTTTTTGGCCTTTGGGATTTCTCCCACAGGCGCGCTAGTTCCTAGGTAGAGGAAAGGATACCAGGGTCCATCCCATTCCGTTGAGGTTCTTGGGGTTGCGTTTTTTCCCGGGAACGGGAATCCCGGGGGAGTCCCGCCCTCTCCGTGTCCCGGAGTAGTTTTGGGTGTCTTTCGGGCGACATGTATTTCTGGAAGCCACCTTTGGGATTCCGGGTGGGGGGCCAAAGGGAGGTATGCTTTGTGCGGATACCGGCCGCCCCCTTTTGTCCACCGGGAGCTCGGCAGAGGGAGTTGCTATCCCGGATTGGGGTTTTACTGGCATGAAGGGTAGGAGGGCAGGGTTTTCCATCGCATCTGCCTACAGCGGTGCTGAGTCCTCTTGGCGGGGAGGGAATTCCGGGCCCTTTCATTCCTCCGGGAACATTCCTCCCCCCCCCCCCTTTTTTTATTCTTTTTTTTTTTTTTTTTTCTTTTTTTCTTTTTTTTTTTTTCTTAAAAAAAAAAAAGCAAAGGGTAACCTAACCAGGGAAACCCAACCATAACCCACTACCCCAGGGCCCCTTCTTGATCCGCACCCCATTCTGCCCTGCCTTGGTTAGACCATCTTGGGAACCCCCTACCCCCCTTTCCCTTGTTTTGGTGGTTTCCTCACCCCTTCGGGTCCCGGGGGTTTCGACTGACTCCTTCATTGTCTAACTCCCTCTCCTTTGACTATACTTCCGGCTTCCCCTCTACGTAACAATTTTCGAAACCCCACCCATTTCACCCCGGACCAACCCGTCCACCCTAAACCCCAACATAAACTCCTGATGATGCCCTTCTTCCCTTTCCCATTCTCCCGGGAAAAGACGACACTCAAGCACCCCCTCTCCAAGCTCATTTGGGACCACACAATGGACTAAATTTTTTATTTAAAAGACCGCTTTTTCTTCTCCCTACCTTTCTGCCCAAGTTTTGGGCAAAGCGCTCCTGCTCATTTGGAAGATATTTCATTTTATGCCTCAAGAGCGGTACGGGCATCGCACTGCCAATCTACCCAACTCATACCTTCCCTTCGAATACAATACTACTACACACTATTGAAAAACATTTTCTCTAATTCTTGTGTGGACTTCATTTTTGCCCCATACCCTATCCAACAGAATTTCCAGTCCCTGTGGCAATGCATTCTTGGCATGGAACTCCGGGTCCCCAACCTCAAAGTAGACACTTTTGTCCTTCCTGCCCAGGCGAAACGTACCCCCTTCAAAGTGGCTCGTTTAACTTTTGACACTGAGAACCCCCATCCCTGAAAAGTCGCTGGACATCGGTTACAAGTTTGAAAGGGATCCCCCCCCGCAACGTTGAAATTTTCTGGGGTTTTAGTCCCCGCGAAATATGCACTCTATGGCCCCAATGCCCAGTCTTGGGGCCGACGACCATTCTAATACTCTTGAGTCAACCTCCACTTCCTTTAAATTTTAATAAACCACCCTTCGTACTCCCGCCGTTTCCATCACTTTAAAGAACGGGAAATCCTTTCCCTCAAAGAGGCAGAAGGTCTCCTTTATGCTTGGGATTATCATCTCTGCCTCCCAAGGGGGACTACCCTTGTTTCTTATTTTCGTGTTTCAAAACATCCCCCCACTTCTGGGGGCCCCTCTTCGCGCCTCCTCTGTTGTTACCCCCCCCAAGCCACCTCCCGGGATCTAAAACCCTTTTGCTGCCTTTGGGTCACGTCCCCCTACAAATC